CAATCAGTGTGGCAAGCAGCTTAGCCCCATTAGTCATCATGACCCGGTATCTATGGAAACGTCTGGAAGATGGTCCTCAGCATAGACAGGCAGAGAGGCACACTGGCTTTTGCAAGGGGCACAGACAGGCCCAGAGCTGCTTCCTTCCCACTGGGAGAACAGCCCATGGACACGTGTGTGCACCATGCACAAACACTCTCCATTTCCAGAACATTCAAGGACTGAGACAGGAGGTATCTTGGAAGCTCCTGCCCAGTGCCTGGACTCGGAGTCCTGTTGTGAGCCTGGCCCTGCCTTTGGCTGGCTAAGCCCCAAGTCCTGCCTTGCTGTCAATGACATGGTAGAAGACGCACACTGGGTCCTGAATTTGCCCCCTAGAATTTTAGTTTCCTTATTTCTACAACCAAAAGTAAGAATTATAATCCCAGAGCCCATACACAGTGTGACTTCTCACTACTGGGGCAAGGAAGTATTTCCTCCTCTTTTGTGTTCAGTATTTACAAATGAGATGTGGAGAACTGGACCCCTAGCCCAAGCCACAACTCACCATGGGGTAGTAGAGCCTGGGATGCAACCCAGGTGGCTTGCCCAACAGCACCAGGCCTGTCTGTGCCCTGCAGCTGTCGCTACCACCTCATGGTAAAAGTGGGAATCCACGCTGAGGCAGTTAACCCCCAGATACTAAATAAAGCTCTGTGTACAAACCTGGGTCTAGTGGTCTAAAACGTTTACAGTGGTAAATACTTTCAAACAATCTAAAACTTCAACATCAGGACAAGTGTTATATTATCTTGTATCCATTTGATGAAACACAGTTCAGCCTTTACCTATGTGTGTAAGACGTGTTTATAATACAGATGACGTTTATATTTTGTTAAGCATAAAAAAGGATATGGAAGTATAATCGTGACACGGTCATTTCCATGAACCAAGTTACGATTGGAGGATTGCAAGATAACTCAGAACTGCACAAAGATGAAACAGAGGTGGTTTGGGATAGGAAAGGGCTGGCTGTCCTCTGCTGAATTCCTCTGGTTGCTTCTCACTTTTTGCTGTGAGAACATATTACTTCCATAAAGTGACCCCGGGGGAAGGTCACAATTCAGGTGGGAGAGGCTCTGAACCTAGACTGTTCTTCTGCAGCTGTGAGCCCCAGGTGAGACGAACTTGGGTCTGCTCAGCCTCAGCTCCTCCTTCATGGGAGGGACACAAGAGCATGCAGGGTCATTAGGGCCCAAAGTCACTGCCCAGCCCTTGCCCCTGGCCCAGCAGGTGTGACCATTTTTACAAAATGGCTGTTTAAAAATAGCAACCTTTTTCTTTAATTGACCTCCTGAACCTGCTCTAAGGGAAGGAATAAAGCTGGCTGAGCGAAAGAGGTGTGGACTTCTGAGGCTAAAGACCAGCATGCCAGGGAACAGGGGCCTGGCGGGGGCAGGCGCCCATGTGGTGGGCCCTTGAGGTGCTTCAGTCTAGTCCATCCTCGCAGGAGCCCCTGGAAGTCTGCTTAGGGTAGCCCAAGTCAGGAGTGTGGGAGGTGCAGGAACCAGGCAGCCCAAGAGCCTGGATACGAGCTACGTCGTGCAGGGGACAGGGAAGGTAGAGGGTGGCTGAACTGAGGCCAGGGGTGAAGACCCTGCACCACTGGTATGCCACTGGTGGGCTGAAGGTCCAGTCGGGAGGAAGGGAGGCAGACAAAACTCCCTTCTGCCCTCTCACCACTGCTGGCTCGCTGTGGCCCGAGCCCTCTAGCTGGCTTCCCTGATGATAAACACTGGGGAGCACAGCCTGCTCCTTCCCCATCCCCAAGATCAGAGGGACCTCCATGATGCCATCCTGATCCCTTCATCCCAAAGTGATTCCTCCCTCCCCAGGGGGCCTGTGCAGCGGAAGTGGGCCCTCCTCCGCGGTGCTGCAGTGACTCCGGTGCTAGACGGGTCCCCTCCCAGGCTGTGAGCTCCCTGAGAGAATAACAGAGGGAAAGGGACAGAGAGTTGACCACGCTCAGTCAGTGGGATTAGCCATGTGGCGAGGAAGGGGTCGATGTTTGTGACGCATTCCCTTCCCCGGCAGAGTCAGGAGCTGGCCGTCACCACTCCACAGAGTGCGCCAGAGCTCAGGGCAGAAGGAGCTGCCAGGATGCCTGACCAGCTCAGCAGAATGCGGCAAAGAGGAGCCAGGTCTGCAGGACCTCGAAGCCAGTCACCCTCCAGGGCTGTGTGGCTTCTTCCTCTGTACCCAAGGGTGGGTCTGCACTGAGTCACAGGTGAGGGTGCTTGTTCCCTCCCTCCTTGATCGTGCACAAATACACAAACACATGATGCAAAAAGAGACTCAAGGAGAAAGTTCTGCTAACAAATGTTGAATTCCCGCATGGCTGCCTTTGGGAAGCAGTGGCCGCTGCCCAGCCAAGACCCCTGCAGGCTCACCACGATCTGGCATGTGCAGGTGGCCATGGCCCCCAGGATAACAAGACACGTTGGGCCCCTAAGTGGAGAATGCGGGGGAGAGATGCCAAAGCCTGGTGGCCATGGCAAGACCTCTGCCCTCCTGGGGCTCAGGAGGGTAGGTCTCTCAACCCGGTTCCCATCCTCTATGATCTGAAGACGTCCAGAGCATGCACGATAACACCTCAGGACTGACCCCACCCTGGCCCTCCCTCTCCATCACCTGCACTGCCCTGCAGAGGACACCTGGAGTTCTGTGCTGGAAACGGGATGAGAAAGTGACCTGAGAAACCCAAGTTCCCAGAGTGTCACATCATAGACAGCAATCACGTATTCGTCTCACAAATAAACATGTTCATGCCTTAGAGATGTTCAGGCCTTTGACCTAGTGACTCTAGAACTAGAAGGCAGGTATAGTCAGAAAATCAAACAAAACTCGTGTAACAAAAAGATGTTCACTGGAAATAGCCAAATATGTCAGGAGTTAAATAATCCATGGTACCTGGAACAGGGAAACTCTGTGCTCTGATCATGGAGGCTGATTCACACTGTGGAGGCCAGCCTGGGCCTTTGCAGGACTCCCCTGGAGACCAAACGTGCAGGGCCTTCTGGGTGTCTGCAGTATCTTTTAGAAGCTGTGTTTCTCCAGGGAAAAGTACTCAAACTTACACATGGGTGAACATGTGGCATGTACACACAACAGCCCCCCGAACCCATCAGCCTGCCCGTGCTGGGACCACAGGCATGTGGCAGTGCCCAGCTTGTTACTGCATAGTTCTAAAGAGTATCTCAGTACCCTCAAGGGACAGGGCACAGGGAGCACCAAGAGACCTTTATCATTGTCAACTACTGTGCTTCATCTGACAGTCTTGCAGAGCTCTGTGTGCAGGTGCTAGACGGGGCTTCTCCCTGGGAGGGTGGCTTGTCACAAGGTTCCTATTTGTAAATATGGTAAGGACCCTCCCTGGCTACCTCAGGAGTAAATGGTGCTTCTCAAGCAAAATGCCTGGGGCAGGAGCGTTCTGTCCTCCCAGCTTCCTCCCTCTTCTCGGAATCCCCTACTGCTTAGCACTCACCTTAGGCCATGCGGAGAATAGCCACCTTCACTAGCATCCCCTGCAGACTGAACAGGTACCCCCCAGCAGCAGCTCTGGTAGCATCTCCTAGGTCTCTGCCATCAGGTACCCTGACGGTCAGCCACACTAGCTGGCAGATACTTATCTGAGACAGAGGGTAAGGAGGCCACCTGCTTCCCGCCTCCCTATCCCAAGTCACTCTGCTCTTGGCTCTTGGCCCTGTTCTGCCCATGACCAGCCATTCCCTTACTTCCCCATGAATGTCCTGCTTACTTGCCAGGTGGAACCTCCTCTGGAGAGAGGTTACATAGGGCTGCTGCTCACTGAGACCTTTCCCAGTCCCTGACCAGGAGGGTCCATGTGTCTGACCTCCCTGGCCAACCCAGTAAAAGCAGTTCACTGTGCCCAAGGAATTGGGAGATAGGACATTTGGACCTGGACAAGTCTCTGGACAGTGGGGAAGCCCGCAGAGGCCAAACTGTGGCACACTCTGCAGAAAGGCCAAGTCTTGCTCCCACTTTAATGGGTCGGAGAGGAGGAAGGGAATCCATCCCAGTGGCCAGGAGGGTACCGCCCACCCAGCTAGCTGCCTGGGTTCTCCCTGTGAGGAGCAGGGCCATCAGAGGAGTGGGGGGATGCCACAGAAAGGCCAGCTCTCTTCTCCAAGCCCTAGGCTGATGTTCAGGCATCTCCAGCATGCAGAGGGGCGGCTCCAGCTTATTAATGAATTGGCCAATATGGACCTTCTTAAAAGAACACACACTGACTTCCTGGGTGAGGAGGAGATAGAAGGAAGGTACGTATTTTAGCAGCTGACTGCAACGATTCAAAATAGATTATCTAATGAAACAACTCCAGAGAACAGAGACTTGCACTCCAAAGAAATACTCAGTCTGTCTCTGAGCAAGACACCTTTAAACACTACTTAGAATTATGTGGCCAGGGCACAAGTTTTCAAGAAGGAGCTCCACGGCATGAGTTTACGGGTGCAAAAGGAACAAACAGGCTATGTGTTAAGTAACCGTGGTCTCAAAGGACAGCTGAGTGAAAGTGTTTAGGAGACACACCCTTCCACACACGGGTGTGGAAATCTGTCAAAGCTCATTCCAGGCAGAGGGAGGCCATCACACCCGGCTCTCGTCCCTCATCCCAACTCACTCCAAGTTCCAGAAATATCTGCAGAGCACACCTATCAGACACAACAGCACCTCTCCAGTGATGGGCAGTTCAGGCCAGTTTGAAACCCGCCCACACATCCATGTTGGGACAGGAAGGAGTTCTTGCACATCAGGGCCACCAGGACTCACGGGGACGCCAAGCTCCTGAACAGAGGAGCCACCGCTCTTTCCCCAGTTTCCTGAGGTGATCATCAGCACACACCAACCTCTGAGGAACCCCCCGACCCTACACACCCAAGAACTTGCACAGTTTGAGAGAAGGGGCCTGTTCACCAGAAGCGACAGGCAGTGGTACTCACCCCACTGCAGGGGAGCCAGCTGCAGGTGCTCCAGGACCAGCTGGCTCAGAACACCCTCCACGCTCGCCTCCCCGCTGCGCGTCAGAGAAGGGTGAGTCCTGGTCAAGGAAAAGCCAACAGCTGCTGAGGTCCTGGGACTGAGAGAAGCTCTACAAGATTACAGTCAGATACTTGGACGAGAAACCTCCCACAGCTAATGTCCCCCTCTGCTCAGCCGGTGGTCTACCCAACCACTCCAACGTCACTCTAAGACAGGGAATAAGCAGGAAAACTTATTGGGCGCCCTCTTCCCTCACCCCTAAATCCATTAAATGAAGTGGCTATTATGTGAGGAAGAGAAATCCACTGGGGTGATTTTAATCTGACAACTACTCTTGCTGCGGAGAATAAAGAAGAATGGGAGGCCATTTTTCCTGAATGAAGTCTGCACGCTGTGGCTGGCCATTCAACGCAGCCATGTTCTCCTGACGTGTACTGGCTTTCAGGATGGCTTCACGGCTGCTGCCTCCCACATCTCGAGGTAATTACATAGATAATTACCAACCAGCTCACTTAAGCAAAGTCATAACTGAGGAAGTCAAGGCTCTCATCAAGTACCAGTGGGTGAAGAAACTGGACTGAACAGAGACCACAGAAGTCGGCCAGGGGCTAACATTAAACCACCAGTATGGCTCGGAGGCAGGAATATAAGCCTCTTTCCCTCTCTTAGGAAAACTAAAGCCACCATTTGTAAGTTGCAATGAAGCAGGAAAAATTTAGTTCCTGACATTCTCTAGTGATTGGAAAAGGGGAGGAGAAACCCATGTTCTTCTTCCAATGCCAAATTTATTCCTTCAACAATCATGTTTGGTGCTTCTGAGGTGAGGCAGGCCCAGAAGCAGGGACAGAGGCATCAGATGCAAACCCTGAAGTACTGGCTTTCAGTACTCGTCTTAACTGCTAAGATAGCAATGAACAAACAGAAAATCAGATTTGCCAGAACTGGGGACAGCTGTGTGGGAACAAAGTGCGTGCAGGAATAGGTACAACAGGGCCAGGAGCCCGAGCAAGAGGGGCAGGACTGGCAGAGAATGCGGCTCATGTTCCCGGTCTCAGGCCGACTGGATGGAGTGTCGCTTTGAAGGCATGGAGTGCAGAGTGAGCACGTCCCTCCCAGCACCCAGTCCAAGGGGCATCCACAGTCAGAGAGCTGGGCCAGCACCTCGGCAAAGGCTTCACCCAGGATGGCTGATTCAGGGACCTCTGCCTACTCCTGGACTAGACTCTGGCCTTCTCCCCACTCTTCTAAATAACCACATGCTCCCTCCAGACCCTCCACATGCTGTGCTTTCTCCTCTCTCTCCTCCTGCCTAGCCGTGTTCATTATTTAAGTCTCAGCTTGGACTCGGCTACCTACCTCTGGGAAACTTCCTTGGCTGCAAGACTTCTGTGGCCCCTGGCAACTCATGCTACATGTGTTGTCTTCACCACCATCCTGGAGCTCAGTGAGGGCATAGACTTCATGCTGGGACCTCGAGCAGGGCCTGGCTCTGCAGCTGCTCAGCCAGCAGTGCTGGGTAGTAAGTGGATGCCAGCAAGCAGCCTCTCGAAGCGGTGTGGGGGCCGTGCCTGGCACAGTGGGCCCGAGCCCTGAGACAAAGCATGCTTTGCTAATGTTTGTTGCTGTTGCTTTGAGTTCTCGGGGCTGCTTTGCATGGGACCTTGTCTGCCCCAGCTGCAGGCACTGTTTCATTCCACACCCACCTGAACAGCCACCTCTCCCCTCCTCTCTCACCACCTCAACGGAGGATCTGAGAGCCTAGCAGCTGTTTCTGAAATGTCTGGATCAGCGAGAGTTATTGCAGCCCCTGCAAAGCTCTGCTGGTTCCCTCCCCTGGAGCTCAGCAGCTGAACGTCTCAGCCCAGCTGTGAATCCTGGTGCCGCTGCTGCTGAGCTCTGGTCAACTGACCTCAGGCCATGGGTCTCGGTTTCAGCGTCTGCGGCACGGGACGAGAGCACCAGCCTCCCAGGGTGTCGCGAGGTGCGGGTGGAAGCACGGCGCCCCGTGGCTAGCACTGCCTGCTCTACCCTCTGCCCCTGGCTCAGAGGTTCAGCTGCCCCGTGCCGCCTTGGTCTCCACACTTTCACACACAATTTATCAAAGAGCTCCTTCCAAAGACCGCTCTCTCCTATGAAGAACCCTCCATTCTTCTCCATCTCATCACAGAGGGTGTGTGTTTGCTGTCCTCAGTGATATAAACCCCACAGTGCACTTCTAATTCTCTCGTTTGGTCCTGAGGAAATCCTGAGCTGGGACTCCCTTATTAGTTCAACAAGAGCGAAGCAGATCCTCAGGGGTACTGAGCCAAGACTGCAACCTGAGCACAAGGAGGACAGGCTGGTGAGGGCCCGCCACCACCCCTGTGGCCTCCAGCATCTCTGCTTCTGGGTCCGATGTATCCCTGGGGGAGAGACCCACACAGACACTCGCAAACCCATCACAGCAGCACCGAGCACAGTAGCCCAAAGGTGGAACAACCTGTGGTGCGGCCACAGAGGCAGGGATCAACCAGCGTGGACATTCATGCCACCCTACACTACTCAGCCCTCATGGAAGGGAAGCCTGGCAGGGGATTCAACACACACGGGCCTCGGCGGCAGTCTAAGTGAAACCAGCCGGTCATGAAAGGACACATGCTCTTGTGAAGGCCCCAGAGAGTCGAACGCAGAGAGAGCAGAATGCTGGCTGCCAGGCCTGGGAAGGGGTGCAGGGGCTGCTGAGCTGCTGAGCAGTGGCTTAGACACAGGTAAAGCACAGTTTTTCGAAGATGCTGATTGAGGGAAGATGTTGGTACTTAGGGAAAGGGGCCATGGAAGCACGAGGAGCAGGAGCCAGGTACGGAGGATTGGGAAACCGCCCCAGGAAAGGGCATCTGAGCGGAATGCTGGGCAGGGTTGAGCACTGTGGCAGAGGCCAGACCCATGAGGGTGTGGAAGCACCCAGAACAGCAGAGAGGGGTGCCTGCTTCCCCCTCAGACAGAAGAGCACAGGAGACCTGCAGGCCTCGGGGGAGCAGGCTGTGTGCCCACCCGAGCCCAGGCTGCCCACAGGCCTCCCTCCTCCATCCAGCCTCCACCTTGAAGCGGCCTTCCCTGATCAAGCACGTGGCTGCCCCTGTCTCATTAATCTGTTACCAACGGCTCCATTTCTCTCCTCCATCAGGTAAGGGGTGCATCCTGCTCAGGGTGCTGTGCCAGAGGCCATCAGTGAGCGACCCCCAGGTCCTTCTCAGGAGCGCCTCGGGCTTCCTAAGGGAGCAGGCTGGCAGGCTGAGTGGGAATGGGGCCAAAGCCCAGGTGAGGACCCCTCAGGCCTCTTCTCTCAACTTGAGGGTGGTGGAGGCAGAGGCTGTCTGTCTCGTGGGCTGCGTGCTCCTGTCCCCCTCATAGCCCGGCTCCTAGCCAGGGTGCTGGGGTCCTGCATGGTTGTCTGTGATGGGCTAACTGGCTCCCAAGTGGGGGAGCTGTGTGGGCTAGTGGTTAGAACGCCTACTTTCACAGATGTGGGACCCAATAGATTTGTTTGCTAGTTGCAGCCCACAGGTGACATCACCCCTGTAAACAGCTAGGTTCCCCAGGAAGTGGCCACCCACTCAGCTTCCTGGAAATCTAATCTCCCTAAGAGGAGCTGCCTGGGATTCAGCACTTTTACTGGCTGGGAGGACCCCGATGTGTATGAACAGGACACAGCACATTTTCCAGGAATAATGCTCATTTTGCAGGAATAATGAGGGAATTCTTTTTCTTCTTTTGAAGATCTGACTGATGTGTTTTAACACTCAATGTACCTTTATTAAGTCAGTTTCAAGGTGAGGGTGTGAATGGATGTGAACCTGACCAGGAAAGAGTAAAGAACCTTTCTGAAGGAGGGAAGGGGCAGGGCAGAGACAGGAGAAACCAGGGAGCGGCAGGTACTTGGGTAAGGGGTTCACCCACCCCAACTGGTCCTTCTGGAGGAGGTATGGGGCCAGGATAGGACCCGAGGACTGTGGGATCTAGAGCCTACGCTTACCTGTGCACTTATTCACGGACTCGGGTCAGGCCCCCTGCTGGACATGGGGATCAGCACTGACTCAGTGGCAGAGGCACACAGTGAGAGCCATATGCACCCAACTCTGTGCTAAGGGTTTCTCAGTCACCTACTGGGGATGCCCAAGGGACAGAGAAAGGGAGTCATTGTTCTCCTTGTTCTAGGAAGAGAGCTGAGGGCAGTCTGGACCAGGGAAGGCCTGTTTCTGATGGACCATCCATGAGAAGACACTTACTCTTTCATAAAACAACAAATAGACATCAAGACCCCTCCCTTAGCTACCACTCCCGAATCCCTGCCAGCAGAGCTGTGGTTGACCCTAACCTAGGCAGGGGCAGTGGCAAGTTGTGCACAGTGCTAGCAGAACAAGTTCCAACCCACTGGTTCTGATTCAGGTACACAGCTACTGCCTCCTAGCCCCGACGATACACAGGTGTAGGATTCATCCTCTGGGCAGTGACCCACTCCCAAGGAAGGAAATCTTCCCAGGGCTTCTAAGTCTCAGACTCAAAGTCACTCCACTGGGTCCCAGAGAGCAGGAACGAGGAGGGGCACCTTGGGGGACATTCCTGAAAGGGGCAGGCTCCACGGCAAGGCTCTATATGCACCCTCAACTGGGCAGGCAGCCATGGTGACAGGGTCCTGCCTGAAGACCTGGAAGCCAGAGTGCTCCTGGCTCCGCCCTGGTCCACCCCCTGCAGCGTCCTGCCTCAAGTGCCTTTGGCTCCTCCATCCAAGCTGCTTCCCACAGCAGAGCACCTCCAGCAAGGGTAATGACCAGCTCAAGATCCCATAGCTGCAGACTGGCCAAAACTCCAGACTGAAGAGCATCCTGGCAAAGGTGTGGTCATGTGGCACCTGCTTCCTATTTCACCACGGGAGGGCAGCGAGACAGCTCTCTATGAAGTCATCCAGGACATGTAGTAAGTGGGAAAGCAAGACTTAGACCAGAACATGCCCTTTGTATAAAAACATTAGGGTGAAAAAATAAGGCTGCATTGGCATTTACTTACAATGTCCA